TACACACACAGAAGCTCAGAGACAGACAGACAGGCAGACAGACAGACGACATACACACCCAAACACTTTAGCCATAAAGAAGAATGAAATAATATAATTTTCAGTGTAATGATAATTCTAACTCAAATGCAGAAAGACAAATACATTTTTTTTCTCATATAAAGAATCTAGGCTTTTCTTTAAAGTCAGGAGAGTAGAAGAATAACTGTTTTGGAAAAGAAATGAGGCCAGTGATGGGCACATGAGAGGATGAGAGGGGATGAAGATGAATGAGATTTTCATAATTGTTTTGCATAATTAATATATTCTCACAAAATAAATTTAAATAGAAGATTGGAATGACTGTGTGAGAGGATTGCACCAAACTTGAATGTGGCCGCTAGAAATGTGTCCATTAAAACAGCTCTTTACTATATCTAAATATTATTTCCATGCTGAAAGATTTTTAGGGGAAAATAATAAGGAGGCAGGTTGAACAGTCCTGGTAAGAGAATTTCACATCCCAGAATAATGTCTGATCGAGGTCACAGAGTAACAAGAGAATAGAAGCAATCACACCAAGCATTTACATTCCAGACCCTGTGGTAGTCACCAGGTTAGAAAAATAGTAATGCCTGAGCTAGTACATGTATATATTATATTTTATCATTTGGCTGAGAAGTTCAGTAGAATGACATCAGTTTATTAATCACATGAAGTTCCAACACAGCCCAATTTGAAAAATAATCTAGAATTCACAAAGGAAATATCAAGATAAAATTCAGCCTTTAGGTAATTAGTTGCCAATGGCGTATTCCTGAGCAGACATAGTTTCTACTTTGTTTAAGTGCAGTTTGTTAACGCCTGTGGTTTAGGTTCTGGCCCTAAGAAAACAGCCATTTTGCTTACACTGTAGGTAGAAGCAACTCTGTGACAGGATCACTGGCACATTTTTCTCAGTGATGAATCACTTTAAATTCATCACTGCCACAGACAAATTAACAAAGCAAATATCCTACAGATCTCAGGTCACAACCACACTCGGAAGGACAAGCATAAATGAAAACCAACATCCCTCTTCCTCAGCTATTCTAATTTATCTCCTAGCTATCTGTTTTGAAGTACGCATGCTTTGAGTTAAAAAAAAAAAAAGAAAATAGTAAAAGCCTACTTACACAAAATAAATTACCCTCTGATATCCAGTTCAGTAGCTTAGCATTTAAAAAAAAAAAAAAGAAAGAAAGAAGCAATGCAAAGTCAGTGGTGGATTTTCTGCTTTGGTAAATAGGTCACAGTTTGTCAAATCTGGAATATATTAAGGCTTTGTGGAGTTCTGTTTTTCTCATAATTTCAGAAGTAGATAAATCATATTTAGCAACCAAAGAGAACTGCCTCTCGGCTGACTGATAGGAAAAGTGAGAGGAGAAAGAAGGGAAAATTTAGGAACGCTGACTCAGAAAGTTGTTCCCAAGATACAAATATACAGAATCTTAAGTATTTCCTAGGAATGTCAAAATGTAGGAACCATTTGCTGAATAGATGTGAACAATCATGGTAGCTCTCCTCGGGTCTTTAAATACTGTGAACAGTTTATAGAAGCCACAAGTCATACCTATGTTTTCTTTATAAGAAACTTCTGAGATTTGAGGTTAGAATTTTAAACACAATAGAAGAAGAATAAGCGACATTATAAGAACTCATTCCTACTCTGCCTATGTGTTTTTCATTGCAGTGGTAACATGTTTTACATGTACTGATTTAATTTCTTCTCTTTTACTAGATTAAATATAATAATGAAGGAAAAACACTGGAGCCCTTTGGCAATTCCTTATAAAAGAGAAACATAATGGCGATGTACTTCACCTTTCAAATAAAAGAAAGAAGTATTTTCTAAGTTCTTACTCAAAATAAATTTGAGGCACCAGAACTCTTCAAGGTGATAGAACTATCACACAATGCATATATGTATCAAAATGTCATTACCTCATTAACATATACAAATTTATGTTCCTATGTATTAGTAACACATAATGTAGTTTTAATAAACAAAATTGGGAAATATAAATGAAAAGTGCTGATGCCTTATTGCAAGTTTCAGTGTAGAATTTTTCTGCCTCAGTGCAAAGCAAACTAAAATCATACATTTACATGAGATTCAGATACCTTCCTTTACTCATGTTTACAATAAGAGCAACATGGCCGGGCAGTGGTGGCGCACGCCTTTAATCCCAGCACTCAGGAGGCAGAGCCAGGCGGATCTCTGTGAGTTCGAGGCCAGCCTGGTCTACAGAGCAAGATCCAGGTCAGGCACCAAAAGTACACAGAGAAACCCTTTCTCAAAACAAAAACAAAAACAAAAACAAACAAAAAAAACCACAACAATAAGAGCAACATAAACCCTAATTATACTAAAGTTTCCAAAGTCCTGCCAAGGAGTTACACAAAAGAAAATTCTTTTACATAAAAATATCAATAACAAAATGAACATAATAAAACAAGTTGTATAAGATGTGTTCTAAGGACTGTTGTAATAAACGCTACTTCTTTAGGACTTCCAGGCTGTGCCACTTCTATCAACAAACTAGAACCGTCCCAGAAGCATGTCATTCTCAACCACTTCTCACATCTTACTGTGATCCAGACATTAAGCCAAAATAAAATTTGGACAAAAAAAAAATGGGGTTTTCTGACAATCTGAGTGCTGCATCATTTTTGGGGAAAAAAAATCAGTAGAGGTGTAAAGTTACATAGAAGGATTTAAAACGATTTTCAAATAAGCTCCCTTATTCACTGGCAGCCACTGTGATGGTCTGATAGTTTCTTTCCACAATGTTACTGATTAAATTAAGAAAAACTGGGGATAGCTTTTGAGACCCCTGGAAATCACCTTCCACCTAAAGCCACAAGAGCAGACATGACCAATAATAGGGCCCATTCGGTCTCATTTATTTCTTTGATTGAGCACACTCATACTCTCTGATGCTTTGCAGGGGGACGGGGACGGATTTGGGTTCCCGAGACTGAAGACATGGAGCCTTTGATAAAGCTTTGAGTGGCTTGCATGACTTCCTCCTGCCCAGCCCTTCTCCCTCAGCCGGGTGTCTTTCTGTCAGAAGCATGTGCCATTTAGACACAGACTAGTGTGCAGTGGATCTGCTACTGTTAACTAAATTCCCCTCGTGGTTCTTATTGTCATTAATTTTGGGAAAGCTTCCCAATACTATGGATCATCTTCAAATCTGTAAAGTGAGGTAGGGTAGGCATAACAGCCTCAAGTGAATGTGCATCCTGAACTGGTTTAATCATCTTATTAATATTCAACAGCATCATTTCCATTTCTGTAGCCACTGCCCTAGTTCATGTAAACTTTCATTTGTATCTAATAAATTGCTATTAATGCTGTAGAATCTTAAATATTGCTTTTAATAAATAAACATTTAGATTATTGCAACACCCACTTAACTTCTCTCACACAACTCTATTGTATGTCTAGCTGCCAGAAAGAGAAATCTCCTGATTTTATGACCATAATATGTACTTTTCCCATTTATGAAACAAGTTTATTATGTAACAATCAAAACTACATGTGCCTCAAGTGACATTTTTTTCCCCACCAAACTCCTGTATTTTCAGTTCTACTGTCTAGATGATCTTTTCTTACTTCACCGTGTCTTTATATTTTAACAAGTACACTTAAATATTTTTGTGACTACCAAATAAAATACATTTATAATCTCAAATGTATATACTAGTGCATGGGTAAACACAACAGAGTCTTGGTGTCTTGGGCAGAATGGAAGGTGTGTGTGTGGTGGGGGGCGGGGGATCAAGTGCCTGAACCACTGCTTGATTTTATTTTCCTATGTCAATACCCTAAATCTAAACCCATCTGTACAGAAGAAGTTGTATGTATATACAGAATATACCTCTGCTCAAAGAAAGAGAATAGTGGAGTTACTAACCAAGGACAAATTAGTTTAACTGTATGGTTTAGTTGTTCAATCAGGGACTCCAAGGGGTCTTCACAGCTTAGTTGTAAGGCACAAAAATGGAACTGAATCATGTCTTGGCCTAATAATTCACATTGAAAATGAGAAAATGATGATAACCTTAAACTGATGCTCTCAAAACTATTGGAGAAACATGGAGCCTCAGCACTGCTTCCTTGCATGGTGAGAACCTTGACATGTACTAATAGTACTAATACTCATTTTAGAAGTCTTTATTAGGGCTGGGGAGATGGTTCAGTAGGTAAAGTGCTTGCCATGCAAGTGTGAGGACCTGCCTTCAGATCCCCAACATCCACGCAAAGGGCCGGACATCATAGTGCACACTTGTAACCTCATTCTGGGAGGTGGGATGGGGAATCCTTGAGACTTGCTGGCCACCAGCCTAGCTTAATTGGTGAGCTCTGGGTTCAGTGAGATGGACTCTGTATCAAAAAACTAAGGTGGAAATTCACCGAGGAAGACACCTGGCACCCACCTATGGTCTTGGAATCCACATGTGCTCTTGTACACTTACAGTCACACAGGCGCACACCACAGACACAGCTATACACACGGACACACAGACAGAGACATAAACACATATACAAAAAATTTCCACTAAGCAGGAAAATACTGAACACTTGTTCTGTCCAAGGCTTTAAAATTTAATTTTTTTTTCTTTAATGAGACTATTCAAAAGCCTAGATGCATACTTTCTTTATCACTGCTGAGTTGCTATTTGGAATCATACATCTTTAGCCTCAATAGTCTGCAACATCAGCTACAACTTTCCACACAGAGTCCCTGAGTGATGGAGAAAATCTGTTGATCAGTCCTACCGTGGTGTGTTGACTCTATGAGACAATCTCAACAACTCACAAGTCAGACACAGACACAAGGTCCACAGTTGAATACATGTTCTTCCCTCTCATCACCCACTGGGACATCTGTCCCCAGGATCTCCAATTTCTTCCAGATATATCCTTCATTGAATCACACCAAGTAGTTTCTTATATAGATTAATACCACATACACATTTCCAAAATCATGTTTTATTAAGTTCATTTGTATATTCAAATAGCATTTCTACAAATTGAAAAAGCCTTTTTATTTAAAGATCTCAACAATTTGATTGCTTTTTATAGTGCTGGAGTTTCCATTATTCCTTTATACATTTTTATTAATTATACCCCAAACACTGAAAGCTCCATGGCCCCTAAACACAACTTGTACTTAATTATGTCTTTTTCAAACTTGAGCTTAATCACCTTTTCATTATTTTGTACTCCGAAAATGCTTTATTTCAAGTTAGTTGCATCAGCCACCAAACACTATGATTTTTCCTCAGCAGTGTGTTGTCTTCATTAGCAAATTGCATTTAGAAATCCCCTAATCCAGTAGTTCAAGCTGCAAGAGATTTTTATCCTCAGTTCTCACTGGACTTCTGGCAGTATCTGCAAACAGGAAACAGTTTTGGTTGTCACAATAGAAGAAGTGATAGTTCTTCAGTCCTAGGAAATATTTTATCCCAAATGTCAATAGTTTTGTTAATGAGGAACACTAACATAAAGCAAATGATTTCTTTATTTTAATCCTTTTACTTGGTGATGGTGATGTATGTAGTATGTGCATGCATGTGTGTGTGCATGTATTTATTACTGTGGTGTGTCTCTGTGTGTGTGTGCATGAATGTGCTGTGGTGTGCATAGTTTGTGTTTCGTGTATAGTGTATGATTATCTATTCTTGAATGTATACCACTAGAATACTATGATTTCGTATATGATTTTATTATCTTTAAAGCCTAGCATAAAATCCTGACATATAGGTACTCTAAAATATTTTTAAAATGTAAAATTATATAGACTATCTCATTCATAATTTTACAAAGAATAAACATGCAGGAAGAAATTACTTACCAATAAATCTGTGTCATATTCAACATATAATTTCTTTGATGAATTGGATAACTCAGTTGCCATTTGAATATTTCAATAATGAAAATCAGTATTATTCTGGTAAAGAAAAAAATACTATGAGTCATTCATATTTGCCATCAATGGGAAGAAAACACACACTTTAATAATAGATGAAGAGTTGATTTTGGCAGATCTGTGTTTACTAGTTTTTCCTCATGATAAATTTGTCAAGGTTTTATTTTATACCAAGCTACAGTTAATTCTTGCTTGCAAAGGCCTCTCTGCTCAGCTGTAGTTGATTGAATCAGCTCCAATTTGTTTGGATTTTCTAAAAATGGAGAATCTAGCTGTTGGGCAAAATAAGACATTAAGTTTTCTTGCAAATTTGTCATAAATATTTAAAATTATTGCTATTGGAATGTATAAACCACTTTAAAGTCCCTTGTGAAATGATGCATTTTGCCTATTAATGAAACATAAAATTTTACATAATATCCAACAGTTTCCCATATATGGAAAAATGAATGGGTCTTGTAGTCTCTTGTCCTGGAAGATAATATTCAAATTATTTTGCTTGCCATTTAATATTCTCCCAAGCCAGACCTTACATATGTTTTTAGGCAAATCTTTTACATATGGTTTGTACTGACTGGCGTATTTTATTCAGTTTCCCTTGAGAATGTCTCTCATTTTCTCTATGTGATATTTTGTCTCTATACCCTATATTTTTCATAGGTAGAATGAACTTGTTCTTCTGCCTACAGTTTGAAATTACACAGTGAACTCTTTCTTTTGATTTCCTCCCAACCCAACTTCCTCTTAAACTACTAATTACCTTAACCTGTCCATCTGATCTGCTAAATCCCTCCTAAAGCTCAGTTCATCTCTTAGTTCACCCCTCCACCTAGAACACTGTAACATTTATCTCTTAACTAATTTATATGACCATCATTTATCCTTACCTCTGTGCATTTTAATCTTTATTTTTCCTCCAGATTCTGCAGTCCTGGAGGTGGGGACCTGATTTACAGATAGCTGTGATTATTTACACTTAGCATCCAGTATGATGTCCTGTACATGGCAATTATGACACAGCTGGATGAAGGTTAGATTAGTCACAGTTTTACCTTAGGAATAGAAAATAGTGCAACAGTCCAGTTATAAAACATGAAATAATATCACCCAACATATAAATGTAGAAAAACAAATGGAGGGAAGCATGCTAATAATCACCAAATAAAATACCATACCATAGCATGTTGTATACATGATAGCCAAAAGTAAAGTGTGGATCTTGTTTGATTTAGATTTGAACAAATTATAGAGGGTCATATTTGATATAAATGGGGAAATATGTATACAAATGTGTAAAAGATAACATTAGAGACCTATGGTATAAGAAAGGGGTATATAATTTATCAAAAGTGGTCCTTATCAGAGATAAACACATAATTGTTTTTAAATAACAGGATGACCTTTGCTTTAAATATTCCAATAAAAATCATGAGGGAATAAATCAATTAGTAACATTAGGCAAAATGTTGATCATTACTGGCACAGTGAGGGTGGTATGTTGTCCTTTGTACTGTAGTCAACATATATCTAAACAGTTACATGTCTAATCACTTTACTGACTTTGCTGCTGGTCTTTTTTACTTCTAAACTTTTCTCTCTTCAACGTTCAGTATGGGTCACTTCCAGCTTAGACTTCCTGAAATTGAGCATCCGCTATGGTCCCCTATATTCAAAGATTTTCATTGGTTTATGACTGCCTACTAAGTAAAATCAGTTGTTTATTTAGCATCCCAGAACTCAGGGTGGTGCCTGTAGTGTCTACATATTGAGACTTCCTTTAAACACTATGTCAACTGAAACAACTGCATTTCCCTGAAATACTCCACATGTTTGGGTCTCTCTTCTTTGCTTTAAGATGTTCTTAACTTTTCTACATAAGATAACCTTCCATTCTGCCTTTCATCCCCCGAAGCATGAATCATTTCCTGTCTTTCAGAATGAGCCTGTTTCTCTATAAGGTGCTAACACACCCGGTGTATGTTTTCCTTGAATAGGGCTCTATCTTGTGTTATGATGCAGTATAACCTTCACCTCTGGAGTTAAGTATAACCTCTCTGAAAATACGATTTACCTCGAATCTCTGACATAGATCTGTGTGCAAGATATATTTAACAAATACTTGTTAACAGGTGGGTGGAAGGATACTAATAGTTGTAAACAAAGATAGTTTGAGATCAAGTTTTCTTTTGGCAGTGTTCTCATAAAAATAAAAACCATGACTTTAAAATTTAGTTTTGCAGTGATTGTCATTATTGGAAATTGCCAGGCATTGGGACAAGTACAGCATTTTCACTGCCATGTTTACTCTTCCTCATTCTGTAATTTTATAGACGAGGAATGAGACTTGGCCATATTAGGTAACTTCCATGTATAGAGTTCATCTGAGTTCAAACACAAGTCTGCTTGAAGTCAGCCCTAGTAACTTCTTTTATATTTTTACTGTGTATGAGAAGCCCAAGTTCTGAGGACATAACTAAAGAGCTATTCAGAAGATTAAGCAGAATGTAAACAGATGGTGTTGCCCTTCTTCTCCCTACAGCAGTAACTAGCTTGTCTCTAATTGGTTTTATGCAATGTTTAAAGTTGCTTTTTAGTTTGCCCTGAAAAAAAAGAGATGTAACATCCACTTTTATATTTGCCATTATTTTCCATTGTCTTTTACATATGGACCCCATGTATTTAAATTGTTTGACTGAATGCATGATAACCCCCACCACCACCACACACACACTGAAATGATTGTGAGTTACTTTAATCTGAAAATTAGAAATTGCAAGTACTGCCTAACCCAGGCATGTGCCCATGGGCCTATTAGTCAACATGTTGTAGCTCACACTCACTTCTGTAATTGCTCTCAGAACCAAGTTCAAATTTCATAAGAAAATTAATGCCATTATTTTATAGTTTCAGATCCCACTTGCTTTAAATAGTCTTGTTTCTTTCCAGAAAAAATTCCTCCCTGGAAAGATGAGATAATTGTGAGAACACTTAAAATGTTCCTCTAAATGAACTCCAAAATTGTGTTTTTGAAATTTTTTTGGGGAAATACATGGCTCTCCAAGGTGACCATTTTAGGGAACTGCTTTGAATATGTAAACCATGCTATAAATGTGTGCATATATCTGCATACATTCTCCAATATGTCTATATATAAACATGTGTATGCATAGGTTGATATGTATCTATATTTCCATAGTTTATATGCTAAATATCATAAATTTACTAAATATTTGACATGTCAAAAATTTGGAAAAAAATTCTCTTGAGATGAATGACAGCAATGTCCTTGTAAACGGTCCAGGGGGCTTTGGCATAGACAGGTGGATTCCTTAAGAATATTCAGGTAAGTCATTTTAAAGCATTTCCTGGACTGCTAGATGCATAGCATGCTTCTATGCTCAGAGAAGGAGACTTATGGGGCATAATAGCCTATTAAAACCTCAGAAACACTTCAGAGGCCAGAAGAAAACATCATATTGTCTGGAACTGGAGTTAGATAGTTGTTAGCTACTATGTAGGTGCTGGGAATAGAACAAGAGTCCTTTGCAAAATCAACAAATGTTCTTAATCTCTGAGCATTCTCTGTAGCCTCTGCTGTTCTCCATAACCTTTTGTGACATCCCACTGTCTAGTTTACGTGGATCCATGGTAGCTAGGGTGACAGTTGTGATGTGGTGCAGATGCTGGGTTTGTGTCCCTCTTATTCCTTCCAATAGGCACACACATTTTTGTGTTTTGATTAGTTTCCAGGGCTTTTATTCAGCTTCTCTTTTTGCAAATTGTATTACTATGGCACACTTACAAATCACTGTGAGTGTTGGCTCCTTTATGCATAAAATATAGATAACCTCATCCCTATTAATAGTTAGTTGAAAAATCAGTAGTGTGCAATGTGCTTAGAAATATATTTGGCTTATCACCAGTGTGGTCTTGGACAATTCCAGCAGCTCAGTGGGGAACACTAATATTCTTATAGCTATAATCTTCTCTACAGTAGTTACAGAAATGTTACATAACCGGGTAACTGATGCTGTAAAGTGCTTTCCCAGTCATGGGCACTACATAAGCTCTGGGATTACCAAGTATTTTAAAGTAGATGGTGTTCAGAGTCCTTGCTTCTCAGACACAGAGGGGTAGGTGAGTGGCCTTGGAGGAGAAGAAGAAGGTAGAGAAGGACAGTGTCTGGTAATTATGGGGAAATGCTTTAGAACATATCATCGATTGCCCTTGTTTTTATTTTTTCTGAACGTGAGCATCTGTATGTAACCTAAATTGGCCTTGGTCTTACAAGTCTCCTCAATGACAGGATTAAAGGTATGCTTCACCATGCAAGACTAATTTGTCTACTATAAAAGACCATTATTCTGTTTTGTTTTAACTTGTAAAGTGATGAAAATACAGAGTTTTTGACCTGCCTTTTGTATGTGTTCAGAAAAGTTCCTGATGTTCCATGGCACCCAAAGCATCATCTTCATCTGCTGGGAAAGAACTTCACCCCTGGGGCAATTTGGGAAGTTTATTACATTTTAATTTAAAATTTTTTTTTGCATTTCTGAATCTATTTTTGCTATTAGGAAAGAACAGCTAGAATATGAATACATATGATGTGTATTTAAGTATGCATTTATTATCTTAACTTTTAGGTTTCTAAAAGTAAAGTAAGATCACTGAGAAATAACCATGAAACTATTCTATAAGTGGCAAATCATTATAAAAACACTTGGTGATAGCAAAGGCAATAATTTGTATGGGGGGAGTTTGATAGTTAGGCTTCAAATTTAACTGGAGAAGAGGCAGGGAGAGCAATACAGAGAAAGAGAGACAAAAAAAATCAATGGCAATTGAAAAGACCACAAGGAAACATTATTTTGTGCTTATTTAAAAATTAACGCACACACTATATATATTCATATATATATACACTATATAGTGTCTCTCTCTCTCTCTCTCTCTCTCTCTATATATATATATATATATATATATATATATATATATATATGTTGCTATACCACTTGGGGTAATAATACCCCCTTACAAGTTGCATAGACTACTTAACGCAAATCTCAGTGCCATAGGAAACCTCTCTTCTAGTTCTTGGTCAAAGGAATCAAAAAGACTCTGTAAATAATGCAGGCAATTTCTATTGCCCTTGCTTGTCTTCCATAAATTGAAGGTAAGAAACTATTGCTAAAGACACATGACTTGGAGGAATCAAGCTGGAACTGGCCTGGAAGCCTCCTTCCTGAGGACTAACTCTCCTAGTATCTGAAGGTGCTATACAAGCTTCCCAGGAAAAAAAAATAAAAAATCACTGCTCCTACCTGGCTGTAAAGCCCATGAGCCACAACATGAACAGCATGACACGATACCTCCAATGTTGCAATAGTAGTGCTTGTATCATGGTGACCACCAACAGCTATGTAGTTGGATATAAGACCAGCTCAGTAGAAGTGAATCCATGCCTGGTGCTATAAACCAAGTCAAACTACCCATGGCTGCTGATGTCACAGACCTTTGCAGATCATTACAGAAATCTACAACTGGTCAATATGAAGAGAACTGACCTTGTAGTACACATCTTCAATTCATTTATCTGTAATAGAAGCCTTTCACCTAAGTCTCAACTAGCATAGCAGAAAAGGGAGTGAGAAAATGTAAGCGTCAGAGAACCAGGGCTTCTATTGCAAAATTGCTTTTTCTATATATTGTGACAGGGAGTTGTACCCCTAAAATCTTAACAATATGGCCATCTAAGCAAGACCTGAACAATGACAATATCAGCTGACTTCCCAAAGTAGGTGGGAAAAAAGAATCTCATAGGTCTCACTCATGAATGAAGAGCTCCAGGTGGCTGCTGGGAAATAATCAGTTTTCCACTCAAGGGATGGACCTCCTGATGGGTTATCCCGTCCCAAGCGTGCAGCCTTAAACACATATATATATGAGCAACACTAAATGGATTCAGCATATTGTATTTACACACACACACACATACACACACACACACACACATACACACACACACACCTCATATAATTGAAAAAGTCCTGAATTTGAGAGAGAGTTAGGTGGAAGTTGGAGGAATTGGAGGGCTTAAAGGGTAATGTCGAAATGGCATAAATACAGTAGTCATGTAAGAAATTCTAAAAAAAATTTAAATTTAATTGTTTTACATCTTAAATGAAGAACCAATCACAATCAGTATTTCACAAACATGTATCAATAAATCAAAATATGTGATATATGTGTAAGTTAATGCATAATTATCTACAATTATGGATACATGTGATACTTAAAACAGAACTCTAATGTTTGATAACTGCTCCTCTCTGCCCTGGAGATGAAGTTGCTTCAGTTATTAGTTGTGACACAATGGATTAGAAAATCAATTCTAAGATGCACTTAGTGAGATTTTAAATTTTAGTATTCAGCTACTCACAAGTTCCAAAACTTGCTGATTTTTCCTTTTGTACTGAAAGGTTCTCATTAAATATGTAATATGTCTTATGTTCAAACTTTTTGGCACAGCTAAGGTAATAGGAAGTATTGTGCTCCCATGTGTCTAGAGACCTTGTAAATAATTTTGTATTACTTATTTAGCCATAATGAACCTGTATCTCATTTACTTTATTATTATTGTTGCTGTTTGAGACAGCATCTTGATATGTAGCTCTGACTGTCCTGGAACTCACTATGTAGACCAGACTAACCTTGAAATCACAGAGATCCTTTAGCCTCTGCCTCCCAAATTCTAGGATTAAAGGTATGTGCCACAATACCAGCTTCCTTACTTATTTTTGCTATGAAGTATTATGTCATCTGAGAGGAGAGATCATCAATTGAGAAAATGTCTACATATGATCCAGCTGTAGGCAAGCCTGTAGGGCATTTTCTTAATTAGTGATTGATGGCAGAGGGCCCAGTCCATTGTGGGTGGGGCCATCCCTGGGCTGGCAGTCTTTGTTCTATAAGAAAGCAGGCTGAGGAAGCCATGGGGATCAAGCTAGTAAGCAGCCCCTCTCCAATGGCCTCTGCATCAGCTCCTGCCTCCACGCTCCTGCCCTGCTTGAGTTCCTGCCCTCACTGCTTTTGATGATGGAACTGTGAGTGAAATTAACCTGTTCCTTCACAAGTTACTTTTGGTCATGGTGCTCAGTCATAGCAATAGTTACCCTAAGACAAATGCCAAATTTTGTATTAGGAAGAAGTGTTTTAGTAGAAAATATAAGTAAAAATAATCTAACTCATAACATCCTAGGACTCGCTTTGCTTCCTTGATTGAAAGTCCAATGACAGCAGCACTGATATCAGAAAACGGATGGTAATTAAGACCGGAAAAGTCCTCTTAGAAGTGACGCAGATTGAGATCACACACAACAGGATCTAAGATGCCATTGTTTCTTTATCACAAATTTCTTTTTAAAGAAGGGAAGTGAATTTAATATAAAGTTAGAAGATGAATTCTAACCTAGTCATTGGTGTTGTTATCACTGTTAGCTTTTGTGGAACTGGCTGTTTCTGTAATTAACTGAAATATTTACGTATAACTCCACCATTTTTCTAGATAGTTTCTGCCACACAATATGTATACACCCAAAGTTCTAAATGTTTATATTTTAGGTAAGAGTGAGATCTAGTTTGACACTAAAAGTAAGATTAGAGAATACCACTGTCACCATGAGAGCTAAAGATGTCCTATCCTGCCTGAGTCACCTGTTGTCTATCAACAAAGCACCATCACTAACTTTTCTATTTTACTTTGACCATATCATTTATCCATTCACTCACTTGTTCATTCAGTCATTCAGAAATATATTCACTTAGGAATCTATACCAGATGTGCTAGATCTTTGAAATTTAGAGATGAGCACATATTGTGCTTACAAGGAAAATTTTCGGTGAAGACAATAGCCAGATGCTTACAGTAATGTGGTAAAACCACAAGAAAACTACAAGTGCGGAGAAGAAGAGAGTGTACGTGGCTGTGTCATGGAGGAGGCAGAGTACGTCCTAAAGGAATCACCAGTGCATAGCAAGAATGACTGAAAGTAGGCGGGCACTGACCCCGTGGTTATATGCATATGATTCCTCTCTAAGGCCCATATTTTACATGGCACCTGATTCTCTAGGTTCCTGAACTAACAGAATTAATTCTCACTGCTAATCTTTTCCAGAAAGGCATCTAAGGGAAGATCTCTCCTCCCCTTTGGGCTATTTTGGGGTTGAGGAGTTTTTGAAACTGATCAAGAACAGTGGTAAGACTTCAAGGTGGCAGTAGCTCACACAAGATTCAGTGGGCTACTTTGACAAACTCTGGTGTAGGGAAATGTCCCTTATCTGCAAGTCTTGTCCAGATTCTGAGATATGGAAGAGTGTAGGGGAGGACAAAGGAATCATACAAAGCATCAGATTGTTGGGGAAGTAGATGTCAGGTCCAAATACATCTGAGCTAGCATTTACCAACTACCAGAGATGTGGAGTCAGGTTTGATAGGAAACACAGAGCAGGCATATCTTTAAATGGGTAAAGATTTAGGTAGCCTACTTTAAGAAAAATAAATGCATGTGTAACATTTTGTCTTTTTTTCTCCTGGAGTGACTTTTGAACTGACTGGTTTTACCCTGTAGTGAAGGAGTTAAACAACCGAGGGGTCATAGTGCAGAGGCTATTGACAGAGGAACTCCACACTAGTGTGATCCCATGGCTACTTAGCATCTCTGTTGGAATGTCAAAATCATATCATGAAAAGACCTGATCAAGACAGAAAACTTATTTCTACTGTTTTTTTTTTCAAGTGGGACTGTCACCCAACACATGAAGCAGACACATCCGGCTTTTACGTGGTTCTTCCCTTTCCAATTCAGTCACTCCTAAGCATGTCTGAACTACAAGCATCTTCTCTGGCTTGCACTGTTCTGGTAGTTGTCTTCATATTTTATTTACACCCTCTTCCCCCATGTTCTCCATAAAGCAGTCAGGAGTGTCTCTTATAATATGTATTAAGCCACAGTAGCCTGTTTAAATAACTTCTAACGGTGCCATGGTCTACATTAAGAACACTCATACCACAAGAAGCTGCATTCTCTGATCACCACTTGCTCCTCCATGCTCTCCTCATGGTGATTCTCCCATGGCTCTCCACGTCCCACTACAGATGCAGGGATGCATGCATGCATGCTCACGCCACACCACGACACCTGTACGGCGGCTGTTCTTTCTGCATGCCATGGGAATCTTGCCCGGAACTTGAATGCCTGCTTCTTTTCTGTCTTCAGATGATGCTTAAATGTCAGCGTATTGCCCTAAGACAGCCTTCAAACTTCCCAACCTCATCATCGTATCTAAAGCTTTCAACTAATTTCTGGCATACATTTCTGGTGATTTGCTGTTGAGAGCTGTAATTAGACAGAAGCTTCATGGGAGCAGACTCTATTTGTTGATGGCTGCTTGGTTTGTGGTTTACATTTGTTTTTATATCAGGTATCTAGTGCAGTGCTGTGTCCATAGGGAGAACCTAAATAAATATATATTAAATGAATCACACATATTAATAAAGAATCAAAAAGGAAAGAAAACAGCATGAGAGGGTCTCTTACTTTAAGGACTAATAGTGCTATTTATAATGATGTGTGGGGAGAATGTAATTGCGCCCTTTGGGACAAAGAAAAGGGGGTCAAAGAGCCTTTGAATGAGGAAGTTTCCTAACCACCCAGGTATGTCAATGCAGACTCCTCAGCAATGCCAAGCTGACTGTGGAGTGGATGGTGATTAATTGTTTTCCAAATTGCTTAGACTGTAGGAGATGCTGTAAGACTAGTGTTCATTACGTTCTTGACAGGTATGTAAAGTCATATTTTCTATCAAGGTAAGAGTAAAAGAGAGCAAACAGATAATCCTGTCTTTCTGCTGCACCTTTTCATGTTTCTCCTACATCTTTTCTGATGCCGCCTTTCAATTCTTGCTACTACTTATGTGAGTTTTTCATTTCCCCGCTTACTTAGTCTTGGTGGAAATTTAATCATCATGTATTAGCAGCAATCCTATCTTAATTTTGGAATGGAAACAGACAAAAGTAATTATAAAGATGACAAAAATGACTGAGAAACAATTATTAAGCATGTTGGACATTATTCCAAAGGCTTTGTGTGTTCTGTTATTTACTTCTAGGATGAAGTCTTATGAATTCAATGATTTTATGATCTCTGCTTAAGAAAGAAGGTGGAGAGAGAAGAAAAGCAGAGGTTCACAGCTTGTTTGCAATCTACCACTTAGAAAGGATTGAGGCCAGAACCAGAAAGCAGATGGTCTGGTTCCCAGTATACTCTTGTGATTGTATCGTATTCTTCCTCTCTTCGAGGTAGTTTTGATTTGTGATAAGTGAACAAACACTCACATAATATGCTCTAGGTGTGTTCTGAAGACATCCAGGTTGGACTGTTTAGGAGAAGCAGGATGCTACAGCAGAATGGGCCGAAGTGTCCACTTACTTTTCCACCTCACTGGCTGGACAGCAGGGTTTTACTGACAGGTGTTCTCCTAGGAGAGCTGGGGCTTCTCTATTAGTGGGCAGCAATAGCAGTGAACAGCAGAGGTTTCCCCACCCTTTTCTTTCTGTGTCAAGCTGAAAACAAACAGAGAGGAATGGGAGCCTTTTCCCTGGAGAGGCAGATCATAAACCGGTGAAGTTTTAGAAGAGAAAAAAAAAAGCAGTTTTTTAAGGCTCCTAGTTTTCTTCTTTCTATACTATTTTGCTCAAGACGACTTAAGAGCTGATGTAATTAATGATTAGAAAAAGCTGTTGATTTCCACCGATTCATTCCCCTCAATGAATATTTATGGATATTAGTATGTGCCAGACTTTGTGTTAGACTTGGTATTTGTTTACTGGAGACGGACCCTTAGGAATAAGAAAATCTATGGAGGGAAATAGAAATCAAACATAAAACCCACATTTATACAAACATGCATATGGTTATATTTTAAATATGCTACTTACACATAAACATACTTTATGTATACTATATATTTTACACAATTATGTTTAAAATTCTACATTTTTATATGCTTATTACATATACAGATTTAAGATATGCATATAATATCATTATGTGTTTTGAAGAACAGGGCTAGGTCCTATGACAGAGACCTACTTATCAATGATGAAAGTACTATAAAAGTAATGGTGAATCCCTAGGGAGTGAAATTTAAGGATACTCCTTACTGTTTTTATTATTATTATTTGTTGTTATTTGATTGTTTGTTTTGAGACAGGGTCTTTCTATGTAGTGCAGACTGTCCTAGAATTTGCTATGTAGACCAGGCTGTCCTCAGTCTCACTCACATAGACCTGCCCACCTCTGCTTTCTGATTTCTGGGATTAAAGTCTTAAGCCACAAGCAGCAGAATCCCTGTATTGCCTGGGCTGCCTGGCCTAGCTCACAGAGTATCCGGAGAAAGGACCAGTGCTCTGTATAGGCCACCAAATACCCATTTATAGTGGACCTATGTATAGTGTGAGTACACAGTATGTTTATTTGATAAAGAACTAAGACACCAGCACAGATAGCAGTAAAATCTAGAAGACATTCAATTCTCACGCCTATGCCGTGAAGAATAAAAGAAAAAATACTGCTGTCTGTAGAGCTCCGAGTCTAATTGGGGCGAATAAACAAATGCATGAGAAATGGCACTGGAGGCAATGGACCACTGTGTGCAGAGACAGCCATTATAATTGAATAAACAGAGCACGGCTGAGCTCGTCCTCTGAAAGGAAATGAGTTAGAGACGCGGCATTTACTTAATTGATGGTGGAGGCAGCGAGGACATATTTAGATGGACATGGAAATGAGGCTTAAATTTAGGCAGACAGACTCAGAGAGAGGGTGCAACTTCTGCTGGAAGAGAATATAGCCAAGAACAGTTTTGAGAATTTTCATCTCAAGTTGCTAAAGTGCTTTCATGTCTTTCCAGTGTCACTGTTGTTCAACAAAGATATAAGTTCCTTTATGGACAGGGAACAAACCCCAGGTCTTAGAAAAGTAACCAGAGTGTTGTTGAAATATGACTTGAAACTAAGAACGGTGAGAAACAAAACACTTTCTTGCCAAGAGCTCATGGTAATTTTGACCTAGCCCATAAGACCCCAGAGCTGTCAGTGCTGTTTTAAGAGTTCAGCAAAAATGTTTTAAATGACACCTAAGTGTCAGGGAAGTTTCTGGGCAGTAGATGAAGGAAGGCGGACAGACTTTTTATTATGGAGACTCAAATCTGTCAGAGAAGGGAAATATTACACTTCAAATAATGCACCATCAGGGCACAAGCAAGAAGCTGCAAGCAACACCTTCCAAACTGGGGCGTGGGGTGGGGGATAAGTTCACAGAGCCTAACAGGGGGAACTGGCCATTTGAGGAGAAGAAGCAGAGCAATAGAATGGTGTGTATGAAAGGAGTGTGGGAAATCCCCCACACAAGGCTATTTGTAGAAACTTGACATTGGTATATGCTACCATGTTTATACCCCAAGAAAGCTTAAGAAGCTCTAAGGTTGCAGACCAACAGTTTGACACATTTGGTATAAGACAGGTGAATAACTGTAATTTAAACCTTTTTGAAATAGACATGTTTTGTAGCCCTCACTTCTTTCATTGGAAAGAAAGCACAAGGAACAGGATTTTAGAATAGGAACTAATATACCATATATTTTAATTCTGCTGTTTGCATAGAGGGGAGTCTAGGAACCTTGTTATCCTTTGTGACTTACTAGACCAGTGGTTCTCAACCTTCCAAATGCTGGGGCTGGTTCCTCATGTTGTGGTGACTCCCAAGCATAAAATTATTTTCATTGCTACTTCATAAGTATAATTTTGTTACTGTTATGGATTGTAATGCTAATATCTGTGTTTTCAGATGGTCTTAGGTGACCCCTATGAACCACTGTCTCTTGATAGGATAAATCAGCTCCTGTGACATATATGAAGAATTCTCTATGAAAAAGAGGGGTAGGCAAGGTTTGTGCTCACAGGTAACAGTTGAGTGTATTCTGACACTATAGTTAGCAGAAACTAAGACAATTATTTGTCCCCACCTCTGGGAGAGCACAGACAGAGCTCAGGTGGCACTGTCACTTAGAAAAAGAGAAGAGCCGTGAAAGGAACACTGTCTGCGGGAGATCCTGACCCGGAGCATCTCTGAGGATGGTATGGTGATGACCAGAAAGATACTGCAGCCAACAGTCTTTCTTCCCCAGGAATTTAGTAAGAGCAGGTGGTCCAAGCCCAACCTGGAATCGCCCAGCAACCAATGAGGAAATAAAGACTCACTTGGAGTATCTGAATGAGGCTGTAATGCAGGTACTGCGAGAAACAGGAAATTGATCATTACCAAAAGAGAAGCTATGAAATAAGAAAAAAAAAGGGGGGGGATGAACCAGAAATTAATACCAGGAGTAAGTCACACCAAGATCAGACTGGCGGAGCACAGGGGAGCAACTGTCACAGCATGGGGAGCTGATTGCTATCTGGTGGGAGCCAGAATCCAGGCACATTTGAGAGGGTTCAGTTAGGAGACGAAGCGGCAGCAGAAGTGACAAGATGAGTGAATCTCAGTGAGGACTCTGTCTTCTGCTTGTTCCATCTCTAGTCTTCAGAGGCTCCACTTGGAAGAGCCAGCTGCGCCAGCTGGGATGACCCTGAGGGAAAGGAGCCCTGGAGAACAGATTGATCCTGATTGAGCCAGAGGAAGAGCAAGGTCAGGGTTCAAGGGCAAACAGACCTAGAAACTGCAAAACCCAGTGAAGAGGGTTGAGCTGTAGAAAGCACAGAAAGGAAGCTTGCACTTTTTTAGATTGTGTGCACGTAAGGTAAGCATGTGCAAGACAAATCTCCCGTCTGCTCGGCTTTGCTTGGCCAGGTCAGGAGGGAACAGGAACAGCGATGTGCCCACTAACTGCAAGACACAAACGTGCAACCAAAACTTGGTTTCCCTTTGTCTAGAGATGCTCATCAGAAAAGACCAAGTGATTTTTTTTTCCTCTCTAAAAAGAAACTGCTCTTTCATCAAACTTAGAATTTGTTTGTGTTACTAGTATATTTTATTCATTAGTAATTCCTCGAATTTGTCAACAAAGGTTTATTTGCCTAAATGACCGTGCTGCATCAAGCTAAGACAGGGGGTTTGCTTTGAGTCTTTACTGACCTGCAGCACTTTGATAAATGCTATTGCCTAGAAGGATGCAGTAGGAAGTTTGGGCACCATCTGTGTTGGCCATAGTAACCGCTGTGTAGGAATAGTAACCGCCCGGAGAAAAATGTGATGCTCATTTAAAGGATGCAATGTACGCAGAATCCAAGATGATCCCTTTAATGTAATTACTGCGCCTTTCACTGACCTAGGTATCTCAAGCTGTTCTGATGTGCTTTTGTCATGGATTTCTACAAAACTCGTTCAAGTGGGGCATTGGCTTCTAGACAATGTAAAAGCGTGGCTGGTACTATGCAATCTTTAGGAGACTAAAATGTTATCTAGTCTAATCCTCTGCTGATTTGCCAGAACACACTCCCCAAGCACTTTCTCCATGCCAGGGACTTTCTAAAAGGGCAACATGATTGTAGCTTATTAAACAGATTGTTTCATCAGGCAAAGAATCATAAAAGAGGGTATATTTTTTTCTCACTTAAGGAAGGAGAGACTAAGGCAGAGATCTTTTCCTCAGTATTAGCCGATTGTCAATGAAAGATTCATACTTAGGCAATCTAACAACAACAACAACAACAAAAACTATTTCTCCCATACAATGTTTTCTTTAAATAGGTACTCAGCCAGCAATATCCTTAATTATAGAGACACATATTTAGCTTGCTCAGCTACCTTTTTTACACACCCCAGGCCTACCAACCTAGGGATAACACTACAGTTTGCTGGGCCCTTCTACATCAATTAGTTATCAAGAAAATGCCTCACAGACTAATCAGGTGTAGGTAATTCCTCAGTTGAGATTCCAAGGAGTGTCAAGTTGACAAGTAATAATAGTCATCACGTCAAGGATGTGATGGTCCATGCTTGAAATATCCTTAATACATGGATTCATTGTATTCTCAGTTGTCTCATGTGGCCCAAGGCAAAAGAAATATTTTGGGTCTGGTCTTGTTCAATCACTACTCATAATGAATTGTGCAATTATGTATTCCCTCCCAGTGTTCACCTGATGATGATCAGGCCTCTGCAGAATGAGGATGGGGAGAAGGGAGGACAATGCAGTGCCAGTCACCAAGGAAGCCAGGAGAACAAAGCTTTGAGTGGGGCTTATTTGGCAGCCAATATAAACACTAATATTCTGCTGAGCAATTTGAAGTTGTGAGGTTTCATTTAGTTCTGTATTTCATGTGTCTGTGAGAATACAGTCCCCTTGAGAGTTTACTAAATATTACTTCGGATGGGAGGACACTTTTTAAAAGTCTTTCTATCTTAGACAGAAAGGTCAAATGAATCAAAATCAATCAATGGGGAGGGCCAGCCAGGATTTCTTCAAGTGATCTCAGGTCTAGGCCCCCAGTGACCTAGGGCTATGACAATAGCTTCTGCCCAGGCTCTTCCTTCCAGGTCCTACATGTTCTCATTTCCTCATTCTAAAAGAAGTGGCTATCTTTGCTACTAAAATTGTTTTACCCTGAATGTATGTTCCATGTTTTATGAAGTGATTGACACACTGTTTGAAAGATCAAAGCTTTCTGCCATCAGTTCACCATAATATTTTCCCATCGGTCTTCTGCTTGCTTTTTATTCTTTACTCTTCTGAGTATCTTCTCCCTCTGAACATGTTTCAAAATGTCTCCTGAGATTCCACCCACAGAATATGAAAATCCAACCATTCTCCATCACAGAAATCAATGCTAATGATGTTTGATCTCACTGTGGCCAATAAGTAATGTGAGATTATGATTCTTGGTTATCTTTTTGGGTATGACTTTAAAAGCTTTCCCTATCTACCCAACCAAAACAGTGAGACACCAACCATCTCTTGCTAAAACATAGGAAGCAGCAAATGGTGCTTGAGAAAACTTGGGAAGCCATGGTACTGTTGACGGATAGGCTTGGTGGCTTTGCTGCTTCCTGTGGAGGGACTGATCTGAGCAAAGAGTTGTATGGCTTTGGCGGTTTGAATGAGATGTCCTCTGTAGTATCAGACATTTGCTCTCTTAGTCCCCAATTGGTGGCACTGTTTGGCAGAAGTATGTCACTGGAGGTGGACTTTGAGAATTTAAGGACTCCTGCTACTTCCTGCTGCCTCTGCTTCTGGCTTATGGTTTGTGATGTGAGCTTAGATGCTCCTTCAGTGGCTATGCCTGCTGCCTGCTGTCTCCATACTGCCACCATGGACTCTAATTCTCTGAAACCATAAGCTTGAATAAACTCTTTCAATCTATGAGACACCATAGTCACAGTGTTTTCTCACAGCAGTAGAAAAGTAAGCAATACACCAGCTGTTCTCAGAAGAGAACCTCCTGCAGCTAACTTGTTTACAGCTCCTTTGCTGTTCTTCCTTTTCTTCTGGAAAATAAAAAGCCTTAAAAGCTTGCTTCATGAGGTTATGATGATTGTGAGAGCCTTTGGTTCCAGAACAACAACAACAAAGCAAAAACAAACAAAAGCAAACGAAAGCAGCCCCAAACTGCCACAGCTAAAATACTCAGTCTTTACATGGAGACGGCTGTAATTGGCATCATGGTGGGGGGAGAATAAATCAAGTGTCTGAACTGTCCCATTCACTTAATAACTATGTGATATACAAAGTCTAGATGCTAACAGCCATGTTAACAATCTAAAGATCAAAATGTGAACAAAAGCACACAAATCCTGCCATTGTGAGTTTGTGGTCTAAATTAGGTTTACTAGCTGTGAATAAATTTATTACAGATATTAATATGAACGTGTAATTATATATAAGATCTCAAGCATATTATAGCTCTTTTATTAACTTTAAATATTTGTTTTTATTATTTTAAAATGTGTGTGTGTGTGTGTGTGAGAGAGAGAGAGAGAGAGAGAGAGAGAGAGAGAGAGAAAGAGAGAGAGGAGAGAGAGAGAGAGAGAGAGAGAGAGAGAGAGAGAGAGAGAGAGAGAGAGAGAGAGAGTCTGAGTGTCAGAGTATGGGTATGTGCATGTATAGGATAAAGGCATTGGCTACCCCCAGGAACTGGTGTTATGGATGGTTTTGAGCAGACTGACATGGGTACTGAGAATTGAACTTGGGTCCTCTGAAAGAATAATATGGAGCTTTTAACCACTGAACCATCTCTCAAGCCCTAAAGACAAGATACTATTAGTTTCTGCTATAGAAGATAAAATTTCTTTCACTTACTTTTTCTCCACATCTGGTCATTCCATCCAATCTCATCTCATTTATGATGACATTTTTTTTCAGCCCTGGGCCAAATTAACTTCTTCTTTAGTCTGTAATGACAGCACACAGTCCATATTTGGAGACATATATTGTATCACCAAGTGAACTGTAATCATATTGTGCATAAGCCTGGTTGTCTTTACTTGCCTTTCAATAACACAAAGAACTTAGTGTATACTCATATGAATTTCCACTTTTTACTAGAAATAATGACTAGATATTTATATATAATAGCATTTCTGTACTGCTATTACATATGTTTTATATTCACATTGTTTACACAGTGGTACAAGAAAGTTGATTATGAATACATATTATTCATGTTTATTTAATATTTTTTATCAGAAATATTTCTAAATTGGAGCAATATGTAGAGATTTCAGACACGAATATCCTATATAGCACAGCAGAATTGAACTTTCATTGGTTCAAATACAGTTCTCTTCTTATTTGAGATATGGTGAAGAGAAAAACAAAATACAAACAGTATGTAAAGTACATGTCCTCATCAAGTATTCAGTACATGATAGTAACTATAGATATGAGAGGTTGGGGAGTTCTTCTTCCTCTAAGAATTTTCCTTTTATTCAGATTCTTTGTCCAGTATCCTGATAATAAGTTACTCCCAGGTGCCCAGGCATAGAAGTTTCAGTGGTGGGCAATCTATGGAAAAATCATAATACCTCATTCTTCATTTTTAACCTGTAAACCAATTTAGGATTAATAGCTGAAGCAATGTTTGTGTTCATGAGAGTCACATACTTTGTCTTGTAGAACTGTTTAATAAAGTTGTGGTCTAACATAGGGAAAAAATCAAAATGACAGTGCCTGGCATAAACAAATCTTCCAGCAAATCTCTTTCATTAATATAGAGACATCAGTGTCTTGAACTACTACTTGGTTAAGTTCGGACTTCTGCATCTTAAAGATCATTTGGCTTTATAAAAACACAGTTATAAAAGCTCAGGATAATAAAAGTATAACAACTGATAATATTTGAGTATGTTATGCAAAATAATTAATTATATAAACTGGTAATTAGGAAAAGACTATGCCATCTTCTGTTGTAGTCTGAGATCTAGACTTGCACACTGTGAGAGCACACCATGCTGTTCTATTCTCCCTAATTCTGTTTCTTTAACTGTTATGAGGCAATAATAAAATACTTGACTCCTTATTGCTTCTCCTTTTTTCAATGTTGTACATAGAAATCAGGGCTTTGTGCAAATGATCTACCACAGAGCACTGTGTCCCCAGCCAATGCATTATTGGGTTATTATAAAGAATTCATTATTCATTGAAAGCATTTTAAGGTCTCTAACAATTGGCAAGCATCTAATAAATGGGTAATAAATACTGAGAGCCTTTTATTATTGTTCATAGATAAGGCTATCATACTTTCTCACGCATACTAAAGCCTTGAAAATGAAAAGGTGGAATGGGTCAGATCTACAGCAGATCAACACTGTAAACTAAGACCCATGGGCACTCTGTTTACAGTGCATACATTCATTTCTCCGTTTGCTTTAGAGAAAATTAGAATTTCAGGAGGGAACTCATGACCTTATTCTATCACATTCTGTTCTCTCTGCTCAAATTCATATTATCCCACGGATATTTACTGAATGCCTCCATGCTGGCTCTTTGCAACAAAACATAACTTCCCTCTAACATAAAAAGGTGAAACTTGGAAAGATGACCACAATAATTCTTTAAACAGAAGCCCTATATATATCTATCAGGTTTCATAGATGACGTTTTTCTCCACAGTTACATTTGTCTCCTGTTCCATTTATTGTCAAAAATGGTTCAAACATTTATCATGTTCTTTCAACAAAATTCATATCCTTGTTGACTTATTTTGGTTTTCTGTTTTACTCTAATACTCAAGAATTCATAACTTCAAATTCTTGTGATATAAGACCTAAAAGTCATGGGCAAATGAGAATCAATACATTATTGTTTTGTTGCTATAGTCTACAATAAAATCATGAGTTTTTCACTTGCTTGACAATAATTTAATGCACCACTCAGCTTCCATCTGATACAAAGAGCAGTTTCACTTATTTAAACATTTCTGTGTGGGCTCACAATAACACTTTATACTCACCTTAAAAACAGAGTTCATGAATGAAATCACAAATGGATGATGAAAGGTTCACCTCACTGCTAGAAATATTGACCCTCCAAACAACCAGTGTCAGATTTATGCTGCTCTAGGGCTTTCGATTATACATCATCACTTATATTCTTTTTTTGTTGTTTTGTTTTATTTTTTCGAGACAGGGTTTCTCTGTGTTGTTTTGGTGCCTGTCCTGGATCTCACTCTGTAGACCAGGCTGACCTCAAACTCATAGAGATCCACCTGGCTTTGCCTCCCAGAGTGCTGGGACTAAAGGCGTGTGCCACCACTTCCCAGCTGTCATCTTTATTCTTATATGAATGGGGTAACTTTGAAGTATTATGCAATCACCCAGATAGGCATCTCTTAGGGATTCACATATAGGATTTCAGTTCACCACATGGCAAATTTAACCACAAGCAGCAGTTGTCAGGCAGACTCAAAGCACAATAAATTATCAATCTCACCTTTTATAGTTAAATGCTTTTATATTGCCTGTTGTAGGAAAACAGTTTAACTAACATCATTCTAGCTATGATTGGTCTTTCTTGAGGAAGTTTTTATGAGTCTGAGTGAAGATAATGACAACCATTAATCACTGTCATTGGTATAAGTCATGGGACAAACAGTGATATTTATAAGCAGCTAAGACATGGTGGGAAGCAGATGACTCCCTCGGAACTTAAGCAGGCATCTCACTTCATCTGACTGTCATGCTAGTGAAACTGGCCTAACACTAGTACTATGCAGTGGACAAATGTATCATGAGACGTAATTTGTCTTTCTCTACAGGGCACCAAGCTTTATGTCTCTACCAACCTCAAGCAAGCACCCTGCTTAGTGGCTACCAAATGATGTTCATATGCTGCTTTCATATCCTTAGTTACCCAGGAATAAACTCTTTTAAGTCATTTGAGAATAATTAAACTTAATGAAACTTCAACAATTCTTAAAAACTCCAAGAATTCTTATAGGATCTCATTATATCATCTAGGTGATAAGGATTATGCATCAGTATTCAAAGTTCTTACTTTGTATAGGAATAAAAGACGAACATGAAGAAATGACTCATACAAGTTGAGCTTTACTGTACTAACACTGAAGATTAAAATGGGGTTTGAACAGAGATATATGTCAGACAAACTCAAAAGCAAATCTTAGTTTGGAGTACCCGAATTCTCAACTTGTCTATATGTAACTTATAATACCACTGATATTCTATGCTTATATAAAATTTATCACATATAAAGCAATAGTTGATTTATGACATATTAACATGTTCCGGCTAGTTTGTAGAATTACTAAAAAATATACATTTGCAGAAATCGGGTAAGTTCTTAAAATGGAAAAGTTATTTCTGGCTTTATTGTTATTTGGACAGAACAGATTACAACCATTCTCTATTGGTTCTTATATAAAATCTCTGATATCTCCAACACGAGGGCTGTTAATTAACTGACCAGTTAGTTGAACATCCTTTTTCACAGGGGGGAACTGAAATGCACACTGAGGAAAAGAGAACACATTTCCTTTGCACGCTATGTATAGCATTACATCACACAGAGAATGAGCAAGGACTACTACAAATGTATTTTAATAAAGCTGTGGCTCTCCTCTTCTTGTCTTCTGCCTACACTCATCACCAGGAGGTTCAGAAGTGATGATTGATGATAGAAAGGAAATTTGAAATCTTGCCAACTTCACACTATGGACACAACTGAGTAATGACAAACTTGATATTCCTGATCAAAGCTGACCGCTTTGGACATTAATACAATGGGCTGTTCATTTCTTAGTTAATTTGGTATTTACTAAACACTATTGAAATAAAATATATGCAATTGAATTCATTAGAATTTGATTATTTCAGCTCTATATTTTTTGTTATTTGTCATAAGTAGGAATTATTTGCCCATTGTTAACAATCTAAAACAGAATCCCTATGTTTACAACAGTTAAGGTGATCAGTCCATATTTGTTATTGTTCCAAATGAGTTGGCCAACCTTACATATAGAGCATTGAAGAACATGTTACCAGAGCAATTAGCTTATTTTTATTTACTTTATCTTAATCATATGTGTGTGTATGTTTGTTAAAACAAGTCATTGTGCCTCCACTGAATATAATTTGTCTAATTCTGCATATTGTTATATATTAATTCATATACTAATTGATGTGCTTATTTTTAAAGCTATTGAGCATCCATAAGAAAAAACATTGGGCATGTTCTCCTGGCATTTCACATATAAACTGATGAGAAATGAAATACTAAATCCTTAATCTTACCTCCAGTTAAAATTAATACAACATGTTACCACAGATACTTTATAATTATTTCTTATATATTAACAATTAAAATACAAAAGATATTTTATAATAAACACTGGGGATAAACTTTAAGTTTTATTTATTCTAACACAAACCATAAGTTATTGTTAATTATAGCTAGAATTATTGGGAAATGTTCAAGTGTTTTATGTTAGAGACATTCTGCTAATATGTGTACTCTTTGAAATACTGTAAATGTACTGTTTGAAATGTGACACCTGGATCACTTGTAAGTAATGCTAATTCTGTAACTGAAAAGTTTGAAAAAATAGGTCAATGATTGTTGACAAATTGGCAAGTGTCTTATTTATGATAGACAACTAGTTTAGTGAATATTTTTTTTCTAAATTTTATTGTGCAAAGTAGAATTCTGGCTTAACAATAAAGTCAGAGTCGTGTAAATCCCCGATTTGTAAATTAGAAATTTTGTACAAATAATATTTGGTTTAAATCTGAAGTAAGAATCTTATTTACTTATGTAAGTTTTGAGAAGACCTGTATTCTTTTTTTTTTTTTTTTTTTTTTTTTTGGTTTTTCGAGACAGGGTTTCTCTGTAGCTTTGCGCCTTTCCTGGAACTCACTTGGTAGCCCAGGCTGGC